TTCCTCCTAAATCTCCTATAATTTGGGCACTGTTCCTACCCTTCAATTAAAACTGTTTGCTGAAGCTGCCTTTCTTATTTTTAAATATTATCTTCATCTTATGCACCTACCTATTTATTTGACACTGTTGATTTCTTTTACCTTGAAACACTACTAGAATGACTTCTTAGATCTTTTCCTACATCTTATCTTTCCGCTTCTGTTTAGTCTCCTTCTTCCGCTCATTGCCTAAGATTGGATGTACCTCAGAGCTCCATCTTCGTTCTTGTCTTTTTTTCACTTGCTCAGTCTCTCCGAGAGGGCTTATTCTCCCTCTGTGGCTTCTATCCCAACCGGCCCACACCTGAAATCCCAAACTTCAAATGCTACTAACTAATGATATCATCCAGGTGTCCAAAAGGCACTTCAAAACTTAACATGTCCCAAACTGAACTCATCTGGTTTGTCTGGCAGTGTAGCTCTGCCTTCTCCTGCATTGTCTGTCTTAGTAATTAGTATCCCTTTCCCAATTTCCCCAGACAGAAAACTGGGAATGTCCAGACTCCTCCTTCTACATTTTATCTCTAAAGTCTGCCAAATTCTACCCTCTTTAACATCCTCTTTTCTGTCCTTTTATCTTCTGATTCTGCTTAGTTCAAGTCCCTGTCATCTCTTGCTGGCACTGTTGCAGTAGTTTCCTAGTTATCCTTACCTCCAGCCTCATTCCCCTGCCATCCATCTTCCACATGGCTATCAGAGGTCCTTCTACATCTCAAATATGATCATGTTACTCTCCTGCTTAAGGCTTCATTTGTTCCCCATTATCTTCTGGGTAAAGAACAAAATCAAGGCTCATCTTCCACCATGATCTGAGCCCTGCTGACCCCATGACTTTATTTCCTGCCCCCATGACTTTATTTCCTGCAGCTTTTCATCATACCTTCTAGGTTTCAACTATAACAAAATACTCACTATTCCTTGAATATGCAATGCTAGTTTCATGCTTCTGAGTCTTTGTAGATGTTCCCTGAATGTCCTTTCTCTTTCCTCTTAAGCTGACCGGTGAACTGATGTTTTGAGATCTTTTGAAATGGCTTCCTCTGTGAAGTTTTGTCTGACCACCCTCTCTTTGTCACTTTCCCTCTTCTTTTCTATGGCTCTTATTACCTTTATTGATAATTACTGGGGGCTCCTTAAGGATGGGCCTGTTTTCTATTTACCTTTATAAGCCCCAGGCCTATCGTTGTTAAATAAGTGAGGGAAATGCAGTATAGTGGAGTGAGGAGAAGAGTAAGAATGCCTCCTTGATCAAGCTTGTCCTCGACCTGTGAAGAGGGCATCTTTTCCACAGATACCTCCCTACATGAGCCAGGCCCCAATCTATGTGATGCTGGGGCTGTAACTGTGGGCCAATCACTCCAAGAGCACATTGTCCATGATTGTGTGGGCCTGACAGAACCTGTACTTTATAGCTAGCATAGATATAGTGCTCAATAGGTACTATACTTAGTATATTCTAAGTGCTTACGTATATTAACTCATTTCAACCTCACAAGAACTTTTGACATTATTAGTCCCATTTTACAGATGAGGAAACTGAAGCCTAGATCACACAGGTAGTAAATGGAGGAGCTGGGATTTATAAAAACAATGGAAAGTTAATATTTGTTGAAGCTATGATAATTACCTAGGATCTCACTATATTGTTTACTTTCGTGTAAGTTTAATAATTTCTATAATAAGTTTTTAAAGACCAGATTGGATAAAATCAATGGATTTTAACCTTTTTTTAAGGAACAGAACAGTTTCTCCAACCAAAATCTTGTGGAAAGGATATATAAATGAAATAAAAGTGAATCTACTCTGATTGAAGGGAAGCCAGACCCCCTCCTATTGCTCCCTTCTTAAACTCAGCCCCGCTTAAGGTTCAGGATTCAGAGAACACAGTTTAATGAAAATTATTGGACCAACTAACTCTAAGGATTCTTCTGGCACTTCTTCCTTCTTCTAGTTATATAGGCTTTGCACTGGCCATTAGCCTATATATCCTGTCCCAGAAACAGTGAGACTGGGCTATTAATCATTTCTGCAGTTGGAAAATTCATTTGAAGAGTTGCAGAAACATGGGTTGTTATTAGAGATGCATTTCAATGTCTGTCTCTGCTGAGTGTTTATTAATAATCTTGATAATCCCCACTCCAGTTACCAGATCTAACTCCTGTCAGATGTCCTTGAGAGGATATTTTAAATTCTCCCTGATTTCTTGGAACCCGACGCTTCCTTCTGCCTGGATTCCTCTCTGATCCTTATATTCATGAATATTTCACATTTACTTTCCCTGATTACATTTCCATGTGATTGTCATGGTGCATTGGCTGCATTTCTCGGGGAAGACAGATAGGAAACCCATAGTAAAGGCTTGAGTTTGCAGGCACAGTGCCAGAGATCTTTGTTCTTGCCACTAAGATGGTCTTCTCTCATGGACAGTGATAGGGGAGATGCTGAATGGTGGGCTTTGCAAGAGACCTCTCAGTCTAGGGCTTTGCACCATGGCTCTTGACCCAAAGGGACTAGCAGTTTCAGTCAGGGATCAAATGGCACCAGGACCTGCCCTGTAGCCTTGAGGATCACATGTGGGTCCCTGTGACCAGAGTTGCTCAACAGCTTTCCAGTCCCCAGCCAGGCCTTGTCTTTCCTGTAGTCTCCCTCCAATGTTACCATTGCTGCCAAGTACCTCCAGCCTGAGAGAAGAAACTCTGATGAACTCATCTGTACTGAGGAGGGAAAAGTTAGCCCCAAATGCCTGAGAGCTTGTGTTTTAAAAATCAGCACAGGAAAAGAACAGTGAGGCTTAACACTTCCATGGGATGGATGGGGTAGAGCGATCCCCAACCTTTTTGGCACCAGGGACCAGTGCTCCAATGAGAATCTAATGCCTGATGATCTGAAGTGGAGCTGAGGTAGTGATGCTAGAGCTGGGGAACAGCTGCAAATACAGATAAAGGTTCACTGGCCTGCTGCTCACCTCCTGCTGTGCAGCCTGGTTCCTAACAGGCCATGGATTGGTACTAGTCCACAGCCTGGGGGTTGAGGACTCCTGGGGTAGTTATGGAGGAGATGCATGATTAGAAGGCCATAGATTTAGAAATCACCACTGTAAACATGTTAATCCAAACTGTAAGTGATATCAGGGTTCCCCAAAGAGAGAGAGTAGGACTGAAGGCAGGAGACAGAGGAGATAAAGGGCTGTAGGAGAAGACAGAAATGAGTGTCCTAAAAGTCTGCAGAGAAAACCATTTCCAAATAGATGTAGTATGTGTGACATGATAAATGCTATAGAAAAAGTAATGAGAAAAAGTAATGATAAAAGGAAAGTGAAAATGTGCCAATACTTTCTTGGTAAGGTCTTATAGGGATGTTAATGTGTTTCGCCCTTTAAGAAACCCTCCCTCAGGCTACTTATGGAGTGAGCCATTCCTGTGGCCTAAGGGGACAGCCAGAATCCCACTGTCAGGTCTCTCCCTCTCCTGTGGGTAATGCTTGTTTTGGCGGCAGAGAGGCAGGTAAGGGCCACTAGAGGCCTGCTTCTTCAAGTCTGCAGGGGACAGGTGCTGTCAGTAACAAGTCTTCCCAAGGAGGATCTGAGACAGGGAGGTGGACGATGAAGGTTTTGGAAAGGCTTGTAGCATGGGAAGTTACCTGAGATGCAGCCACCGCAGCACCTGACCCTTTCTGAGCAGAGCCTCCTGCTGTGCCCAGCTAAGGCGTAGGAGTCAGAGCAGAGGACAGAAGCCCAGGTTCCACCTTCAAGAACTCACAAACCATAGCAACACAGCCCACCCAGGCCCTTGCCCTCTGCGTTGCCTGAAGGAACACAGGTAAAGTCATAATTTTCCTCCCAAACATTCTAGACTTTTCTCTGTCCCTTTAATGACAAGCATATTTTCATTCCTACTGCCTCATTCTTAAGGGAACAGAAACCACCATAGTAGTTATATATCTTTCCCTTGCTGGGTCACCAGCAGCCACTCAGATGGGGGCCTGACACTGTGGGGCCAGTCCTGGAGCATTCTACCTGCCTGTCTGTCTGCTCTCTGCATTCCCAGAGGTTGAACAGACATAACCTTGAATCCACTCTGCAGACCTCAGACCTTGGGCTTACCACTCTGTGGTCCTAGGCGGATGCCTACAATGGCAGCACCCATATCGATAGGTCATCAGTTTCTCGGGGAGAATGACTCCAGCCTTTTCCAACTGACTGAGGCAGGGTGGGCCAGGACCCTGGATCTTGTAGCAGAGGTTTGGGGTATTTTAGAGGGAATAGTGAGGCTAGATTACTGAGCAATACAGGACTAATTGGCCACCAACTGACCTGTCATTATTTATCTTCTCATCTACCATCCCCAGTTAACCTTTCTGGCTTCTCCAGAAGACACTCCCTAACACTCATCTGTGAAATAGAGAGGTCCTCGTGAGAACTCTTTTTATCCAGTAGCTGCAGCCTTGAAGTCTGGCCTGGCTTGGCCAGTCAGTTCTCTGGATCCTGTGAAGAGACCTGTCCAGGGCTAGGGAAAACAAAGGGAGAAGGCCTGTCTTAGGGGGCACTTACTCTGACCTTAATGTAGACTTAAACTCACAGGAACCTAGAAAAACTTTTCCAATCAAGTACATAGGAAGGACTCTGACAAACAGGGCAACTAGTATGGGAGGTTGGAGTAGGTGGTCCTATGGGTTTAAGGAATCGCAGTGGGCTTTCTGGGATAGGCTATATCACACAGGACTTTGAAGACAGACACCCAGGTGCGTATTGTGGGGCTAAGATCCTTGACTCTTCTACCTAGCTCAGGGTCTTTCTCCCAGGGTAGATGGGTCTGCCCCTTCCTCCCTGAATCTCCTGACTGCTTCCAGGGGCGAATGCCCTCAGAGGCCCAGGGGACAAGTGGGAAGGCCAGCTTCAGGGCTGAGAGCAGCAATCGGTGTTCACTTCCTAACAATTCCTCATCTCTGCTTTCTCTCCCCAGGACCCAGCCGCCGCCTCCATCTCAGACGGAGACTGTGACGCCCGGGAGGGTGAGTCAGTAGCCATGAATTACAAACCATCCCCGCTCCAAGTGAAGCTGGGTGAGTGTGTCCGGGGGGTGAGGGAGATGTGGGTAGTGGACAAGGTGCTCTGGGCTGGGTCTATAGTGAAGTGCCGCAAATAAACCAACTCAGACTAGATGATTTCAAGACTCAAGCTACCAAGTCGTTGGCACTGCCAGGCACCTTATCTCCTGCAAGGCAAAGAGAGAAGTTACAGTTCTCTGCAGGACCCCAAACTCTAGGAGATATCTCTGAGTCCAAGAAGGCTCCAGGTATTCTAGGGGATAGCTGCAGGGATAAAAGAACAGAACCCCAGAGAGATGGTTGGAAGTCCCATTAAACACTGAACCAGGCTGAGAAGAAGGTGCCTTAGAGTGGAATGTCAATTGCTATGTCTGAGGGGTAGAGAGGAATGGGGATCCCAAAGCCTAGAAGCTGAGCCCATCTCCCCATTCCTTCCTCAGCCCATCTGCAGATCTCAGGTGCTGGTTGGCTCTTGTTTTAGGAAGCCTTCCCTTAGTTTTTTACTAAACCCAAATATTTCCCCCTCTTTCCAGGGTCACTTTTCCCTTGGGGTTTATCTCATGTCCACTCTGAAGTCAGTTTATGCTGTATCCTGCTCTTTGAAGTCACTTGGCTTCCAACCACTGCTGTTCTCACTTCACCTTAGGCCGAACACTGCCCCTCTGCCTTCAGGGACCAAGTTTTGCTCACCCAAAGCTGTTGCGTAATAACAGACTTGTACTAAAAATTTGTTTTCATGAAGAGAAATTACAACACATTACATCCAGAAAAGAGCTTACAATTAAACATAGGTCACTACTATCTTTCAAAATTCCTCTGCCATCCCTGCTACCTTTCTCCTCAGGCTCCAGCTGCCCACCAAATACTGGATCCCTTCTCAGTCCTAGGAGCCGTTTCCCATCTATTCTAAAACCCCGCCTCTGCAGCTGCCAGGACTTTTTTTTCACAGAGGTCTGTTCTTTTATTCAGACCTTTTTTTTTAACCTTGCTACCTTGCTTCTTTCCTTCCAGACCACATCCAGGGAGCCCCCCAGGCTGTTTTTCTAAACAAGAGAGCAGTTCTCTCAGTGGAATTTGTTCATCTTCCCAAGACACCAGACTCAAACTGCAGCCGGTTTTATTTATTACTGTTTGACAATACAAGTATTTTAACAAGTATAACTTCTCCTTTTACTCTCTCCCCATTACATTCTTCTCCTGAGATAATCATTCCAAGCTTTTTAAGTTTCTCCAGTTTTATTTTGTATGTTAACATAAGTGGTATCATACTGTACACATTTTCTGAAACTTTTTGTTTTTGTTTTTGTTTTCCACTTAATGTCTTGGAGCCCCTTCTGATGTCACTATATAGAGAATGACTTCATTCTTTTAAATGGTTGCACAGTACACCATAGTTTGGTTTTGCCACCTTATTGTTTGCATTTTTTCACTGTTTCAAACAATTCCAACATGCTTGTAAAATAACATTTTTTTCTCCTCTGCATTACATTACCACCAAAGCTCCTCGTGAAAATTCACAATCTTATCCCCAATTGCACTAAGGAAAATCACCACTACCACCAGGAACTTAAAGACAAATTACACCCCCTAGAGGCTTGGAGTAGCAGTGGCAGCTCCTACCTGCTGGAAAGAGGCTGGGAAAAAACTGAAGGAGTCAGATGAGCAGTAGCAGAGATAGAGGGTCAGGGACTGGGAGATGAGAGACTCAGAGACTTGGCAGTCATGGGAAATTCCAGAGTCACACAGTAGCTGGAAATGCCCATCCATCCTCCCTCTCTGGAGCTCATGGTTATCTTATGAGCGCTTTCCCCTAGCATTACTCTCCACCCAACAGTCCCTTTTT